AATTAAAAATAGTAAATCAACTCTAAAAATCATGACATTTTGAGGGAAGGTTCTAGACATGTATATGAACATGTTAGAGAAATAATTTCTAAAATATCTCTTCCCATTTGTGAGAAATAAATATTTAAATATAAATATTCCAGATTCTAAAAAATGCTTAAACACTTGATTTTGTAAAATCAATTTAGTATAGTAAATCAACTACAAAAAATGATAAACTTTTGGAATATAGTTATAAACATGTAATAGAACATGTTAAAGAAAGAATTTTTAAATTGTATTTCCCATTTGTGAAAACTCATCTATTTTACAAAAACATGCACGAACACATGCACGAACATGAACTTATAAAAACTTAATTTTGTAAATTCAATTAAACATAACAAATTAACTCCAAAATTAATAAAACTTTGGGAAACATTTATAAACATGAAAACAAACATGTTAAAGAAGAAATTTTTGAAATATCAATTCATATTTACAAAAAATTACTATTTTGCAAAACTTGTAAATACATGTGTACATAAACTTCTTGATTTTTGACTATTGAGTTAAACAATATTTTGAAATCTTATAAAGTGATTTTATAGACTTAATAAAATATGTATAAACTTATATTAAAGTTTATAAAGTAATAAAATAATATTTTTATAAAAACACCTATATTTTGATAAAATCAACAAATGTGTGTGTGATTGATATGAGCTTGAAGTATTAACACACAAGTATAAACCTATATAACAAACACTATAAACTATATACCAAAGCTTGAAGGTCTTAAATATAGTTCTCTTTGGTAAACTTACGGATAAAGCTTGAACTTGGATCTTCAATTTGAATTGTATTACTTCACTCCACTATTCCGCCAACCTCCATTGGACATATTGTTTGCCTAGAATAGATACAAAACACAAACACTAGACAAACAATATTTGATGTAAATTATTTGTAAATCATCATCAAAACAAAAGGACCAACAATCTCCCGCTTTTTGATGATGACAAACAATTTACAAAAAGATATATATGCATGAAAGAAAATGAATATACAAATTATAATTATCATGCATATAAATAAAAAGAATATACAAATTATAATTATCATGCATATAACCAAAACACGATATACTCACAATATTTCTCCCCCTTTGACAATATCAAAAAGGGAAAAACAAAAGAATGAAGAGAGCGAAGCTCTCCCTACAAATAAGCATGGGTGAGTATAAAACAAGTATAGGGATTGCTCCCCCTATTAAAATACCTTAATGAATATATGCAATGAATACTAATGCATACATATGTGAGCAAACATAGATATAAAAAAACATGCTAGGTATAACTCATATACAAAAAGACAATTAGAACACATATTGATATGTGTCTCATTATACAAACATAAAAACCATGTATAAAAGTAGATTTATGAAATCAAAAGAAAAAAAACATGAGAATCATGTAAAAAGTTTTCAAATGAAAACAAATCACTCAAATGAAATCATAAATCAAATTAAATCCATAAAAGTAAACCATATAAGGCAAGAGAGGAAAATATATCAAACTCTTAAGCTTGTTTTAACACATATAAACACTAGTATTCATCCCGTGCTAAGCACGACATCCTTATAGTTTATTTTTGTGCGCAATTTTTTCCCACAACATTTTTGTGGTTTGTCACGTGAAATTTATCTTATAATTATCTTATACTTTAAGAATCAATTGAACAAAAGTTAGCTCTCTAAATAAAGTTGAATTAGAATGATGAGGAAATGACAAAACATTATTCAACGATAACAACATTACAGCCTTGCAATTTTGGCAACTCGTAAGTTGGGAAATAAAGTACATCGACTCCTCCATTATTTTGGATAAAAGAAAAGTCCTCAAATAATGTACATCCAGAAACAGACATTATTTAAGACTATAAATAATACCTTAAAACTTATTTTTTTCTCAAAGCATTCAGATACTATATACTGTCAAAGCATTCAGAAGATGTTTTATTATTTAGGGCTATTCGATCTTTTTAATAGAATTTAAGTATTTTTTTTGTTGGGGGGGGGTTGTTAAATTACCCTTGTATTATTTCATGCTCATGGAACATTCCTTGATGAAAATATAAGAGTTCGAGTTTGTTAATTTACCCTTGTCTTATTTCAAGCTCATGGAACATTCCTTGATGAAAAATATAAGAGTTCGAGTTTGATTGAAAGAGTACGATAAGGGACCTTATTTGCATTAGCAGTCTCCTATGATATACTTGTAGGTTTGTCATTTGCATCCTTCTGTCTGGATTCCTCCTCTGCTTGAGCTTTCAGCTGCTGGATGACCACTTTGAAATGTGAAATGCGTGCATAAACATGACAAAAACACGTTAATGTTTCAGGTGCCAGTCACATTGGAACTTCTACCACCAAACTTATGCAGAAAAATCATGGTGGATCAAACCAAAAAGGAGACAAATTCTCATGTAAAGATGCTTTCACAAAAACTTCCATCAGCCAAAACTTACCTGACATAAAAAAGGTTATTCTTTCTTGCCCGTTTCAATGGAAAAAGCCTGGAACTATGATGATAGTCATATCCATGTTTGATCATGTGACTCAATTCAGTAAACATAAAACAGTTTACTTTCACATCTACATAAATTTAGAATAATCAATGGCATGATTAATGAACAGTTTGGTTATTATTTGTCCAAATATTTGATCAAGTTTGATTCGATAAATACTTTATAGTTATACCAAAAACTGAGATGAAAACCTCTTTGTCAAACATTAAAAACATATTTCCTTCAAAGGGTAAGATAGATCACACAAATTCTAGTAGGTGAAACTATATGAAGTATCTAGTGCGTAGGAGGCCACAACCTAGCTGACCATGACAAAGGCAAACTCACGTTACTCACCTTAAGATCTCTTTGCTGAACCTTTTCTTTAAGAGAAGATAATGGTACAGAGATGTGTTATATCACCATGGGAGAACATGAAAGTTAGCAAGTGTGCTCCCTTTCTCTTCAAGAAGTAAAAACTCTGAATTCAGTTATCTCGAAATCCTCCTCTTATCTTTCGAGAATTGTATATCCAGAAATAAAAGGCTCAAAATCAATAAATTATTAAAATTAAGAAGTCAATAGTATATTTTATGGTTTCATCTAAAATAGAAGTTACATAAGCATCAAGAAGTGCTTAAATATTGCAGTCTACATCTCATGAGAATAACAATTATTTCAAAAGTTGGAAATAACTGAACAAAAATAAGATACATTAATAGCATATATCAGACAAAGCAGGCATCACAGAGAGAAAATAGCATACCTGTAAGAGAGTAATAACATTAGCACAAGGGAAACTGTATGAAGACAGAGCTGCTCTGTTGAACATAACCAGAAGTATTGTGAAATACATCCAGAGCAGCAAAGGTCAAATCTTGAATGAATAAAAAAGCTAATTAATGTTCAACAATAAGGGAAATACTTAAGCAGGTGCACAAATTTTTCTCAAAGAAGTCACATAAATAATTCCCTACCCACACCTAAAATACAATAAGGGAATAAATCAATTTGTGCACCTGACAACTCTGTCCCCAGTAGAAGAATTGATAGCAATAGAATACACGCCAGAAGCTCTACCATGAGCCCTAACCAAAAAAAAGGGGGTACAATTTCAACACAAAATCTAACAAACATGAGACATATGCCCTTAACCAAACGAAATACAAATCATGAAAGGTTATCTGCTTATCGCAAAAGAGCGGCAAGAGAAGTTCTTCGGGAACAAACTAAAGACTGTGTATTCTAACTCAATGTAGTTGAATTGAGGAGTAAATTAAAACTTGTCCAGACTTAGGGTAAACTTACAAACACTGTCGATTTGGGGGTTATATAATTAAAAGGGCCTTTTGCACTTCAATACCCCAAAAGCTGCCAAATTGAGATTAGTTTGACAATTTGATACATCAAAGTTCCTCACTTTCTTCAAACTCAAAAAAAACATCAATGTGCTAAGAAATTTTTTTTCTCATTCACTTTGTTGATATCCTTTAATAAAATCAACGCCAACTATTTTCTACTATGGGGGTATCAATTTATTAAAATAGAACTTCAGGGTATCACCAAAATTCAAAAAAGATTAAACTTTGGGGTGTTAAAGTGCAATTAACCATAAAAAAACCATCAAGAAAATCAAAGCAATTGAGAAGAGGATTGAGTACCAAGTCGAGGACAGTGTTCGATGCTGCACCGTATCCCAAACTTGAAGTTCTCCATCGGCAGCGCTGGAAGCAACAAAGTAGGGTTTTTCTGAGGGGGAAAAAAGAAGAAAAAGAAAGAGAGACTGAATCGAATTGAGATTGGATTAGATAATGATTTACCCAGTGAAGAGAAGAGGTCTCGAGGAGTGGAAGCATGCGTCCATGAAGGAGGCGCGGTGACCACGGAGGATGGTGATCGGATTCGGTGGAGGCCATTTTGCGCTCTTTTTTTTTTTGATTGCAGAAATCCTAAAAAAAAATGGAAGGTGGAAGATGGTTTCTCTAGTTGAGGAGCTTCGAAATTGGGAAAGGGTTTTAGGGTTATGGAAAAAAACCCCGGGGCATACAGAAGACTACAGGACATGCCCAATTAATCTCCTCAAGAATTAAAGTTGCAGCCTTTATATAGAAAAACCAAGGAATAAACAAAATAGATTGGAACTTTGGAACAGATTGAATATACAATTTGAAGAAATTAACCGAGGGCCGAGTGAAATTAAAATAAAAGAGAGTACTGACCGGCGCAGGTCATGTAGGATAGGGCGGCGTAGGCTCCTCTCTTGGTCATCATCGATCCCTTGGCGACTGCGGTATCGTCACCGCTTTCGCCGCCCCTCGGCGGAGGATCGGACACCGGCAGAGACATGGATTCTTCAATTTTTGTAACATGTTCAATTTTTGTAACTGTTTATCTTTGGATCGTTTGGGCTTGAAGACAGTTGATGAAGAGGAGGTTGAAAGAAGAGACCATTCAGAAGAAGCCCTCGTTTCCACCATGATCTCGAGAGATGAAAGCGAATACAAAATCTACAAAAAAAATCAAATCGCAAACCTCGAAGATTTTCACTATGAAAACTGATCACCGTGAACACCCAGATAGAAAAATGGCAATCACCACGAAATATCAAAGAGAGAAATAAATTAAAGAACCGATACTTTTATTGTATATTCTAAGAGTCCCCTGCTTCAAAACCCTTACGCTAAAGATCGAAACCCTTCGAGACTAAGAATTCAGTTTATTATATGAAAAAGTCGAAATTTTGAAGAGGACATTTGTACCCCGTGCCAAGCACGGCCCTCGCCTCTTTTTTACCATTACACTTGAAACATCCCTCATCTTAGTTTTAATTACATATTATTATTGTACAATTAAAATGATAAAGCATATTAAACAATATGTTTGAACAAATTTCTTTGCATATAAAATAAAGCTATTGTTAAATGGATCAATATGAAATGCAGAGGATATTTGTGCTTAAGCTAAACTCATGCCAATTGTAAGCTAAACACTTAGCAAAAACAACACCTAGTTGAAAGTTAAATATGAGTAGGAATGTTCTCATATAAATCTGAGGGCGTTTTTTTAATAAAGAATGCAAAATATATCATTTAACTTTTTGGAACATGAATACATAAATTTCCTATTGAGTATCACACGTACATTACATGGTTCTACCATTTAAGTGTTTCCACATACATTATTTTTGTCCTAAGATATATAAGCATTATGTGTATTTATTCTTGGAAAATATTTTGATCATGTGTACCGAAAAATTAATAATTCAGTTAGCATTATTCATGTTTAGAAGGAGACAACAAAAAAGTACCAACTTCCATCAATTTGTTTTGAAAGTAAGCAAGGCTTTTCACTGACATTGCATGGCGTACATCATGCATAAGCTGTCGGAGGTTCGAAACAGAACAAAAACAATACTTCCTTACTAACTAATACTACAAAATCGGTGTGTTGGCACTTGACAATTTCTAGAAATGATTTAAGTCTTTCTTTTATATTTATGAAATTTCAATTTATATCTCCATGCTTATTTTTCTTGTCTCCTAAGATCCCATTTCTACAACGTGTTATCTGTTATTATCTATTATTTTCTTCATTAGTCTGCTGCCTTATATTTATGTTAGCCACCAAATTTCTTCATTAGTCTGCTGCCTTATATTTATGTTAGCCACCAAAATCTCCTGTTTTATTTTTTTTATCAAAAATTTATTCCATTCCCTAAAAGAGAATAGGTATCTGCTAGAATCTTCATCAATCTTCCATATAAATTACCATCCATCAAAGCAAATTGAAGCAAAACTATAAATTGCCAACCAAATATTCATAAGGGCTCAGTTGTAGACGGTTACATCTCTAGGCATCTTTTCAACCCAAATTTAGCTAATACCCTTAGGCATGATTATAAAATCTGAAATTGTAATTGTCATTATCTCACGAGAGCAAGTTCTAAAAACTATCAAAGCCCGGAATTGCACATTAATTCAAATAAAAACTCCAAATTAAAACTCATATAAATCAATCAAATTTAAAACCCAATCGCAGAATATCAGCTTTAAAAAAAAACTAAAAAAACACAAAAACAAAAACCCAATTACCATCAACGATCGCATCGAAAACCCTATCTTCGAAACTGAGAACAACATCAAAGGGGCCATCAGCAGCATTATCCTACCAGCGCTGAGGCGCTAGCTTCACACTCATATTCCTCTTCAACATCGGCAAGATCCTATTGCGCTTGTACCTAAAAAAACTCCACAAAAGTCCTAACTTTACAATGGAAAAAACAGTAGATATGAAGAAAATGAAAAGGGCAAAATCGGCTTTCCACTCACAATTCAGGGTTCTTGCGGAGGAGGTCATCGTACATCTTGTGATAAGGGGTTCCAAATTCGTAGATGTTGGGCTCGCGGTACGATGGACCCGGGATCCTAACGTGTGCCCCAGTGCCGTAGGAGGAGGCGTCGAAGCCATGGCGCGAGAGGAGGGAGTGGGCTTCCATGCTCCGATTCTGTTTCGAGGAGCAGACCATTGCGTATCGGAGCTTTGGAGATTTATCCTTCATTTTTGGTTTAATTTCGTGGGTAATTTGAAAAGTCAAAAAAATAGGAAGAGAAGGGATCCAAAAGATAATACATGGGCGCTAAAGATCGCATTTTTAGGGTTTTTGTTGAGGATTCGGAGGAGAGAAGAAAGAGGGGAAGAGGTAAGAAGAGAGAAGGGTGAGAGAGAGAGAGAGGCATGGGCTGGGGTGGTTTTTCCCAAATAAGAATCGAGAAACGTAGAGAGAGAACGTGGGGAATCGTTTAATTGAAGATAAATACGTGGATAATAAAAATGTTTACTGTTCACTTTAAGGTTTTCCTTTAGTTATTAAGGAAAGTAGATTTTAGCACCCGGTAAACATGATTTGGAAAATAAACACTCAATAAATCCGGGGGGGGGGGGCGGGGGGGTTATATAAACACAAACCTCTCATGACAATCAAAACCAAAAATCATGAAAACAAAAGAATTGACCAAAAATTGTTTTCATATTCAAAGATTTCAAAAACGTGTTTTTCAAAATCCAAGACATAAAAAAATGAAAATATTAAAAATCTTGGTTTAAAAGGATTTTGGCACGCAAGCATTCTTGGTGCCGAAAGATTTAGGGACACGACTCCTATTATTAAAGCTCAAAGTCCTAGGGTTATGATCCTATTTGGACGTATTTAGTGCACGAGCATGGTCAAAGTAAAAATTATGTAAATGATCTTTCCGATTGCAATAAGTGCAATGAAAGAGGCCCATTTGATTTGGTTGACTATAAACTTGTGCACGAGGAACATTTGCAAACATGGATGATCTTTTAAAATTGTTTTACAAATGTTAAACATTATTAAACAAACGTGGTTTATTTGAAGAATTTGGCAAAATTGAACTTTTTCTTGAATCAAAACAAAACTTTGCCAAATAGCCAAATCTACCACAAAAATTATATTTATACACACTAGCATACTTATGATGAACTTTGGATGCATGTGCATGTGTATGTGTACATGAAGATGAAGCTTGATGGGATGCACAAAGAACATTAGATTTTGTGGGTTTACGTGCATCATAGCAAAATTTAGCAAGGTGGTCTTTTCGGCTGCAAATAGAGCATTTGTAAATCTTGGTATACATGTGTGCATTGTGAGTGTTTGATTTGGAAGTGTTAACACGGTACTTTGCACACAAGTCCATAAGCTTGTTATTATTGGCAATGCATGATATAAGGGTTGAATCTAAAGATGATATGTGATTTTTAACAAGATTCAACTCATCATTTTGCACAAATACATTGGAAATAGAAGTAGATGAAACATGATCATTTTTAAATGAATTAAACTCATTTCTAATTGTTTCTACTTCTATCATGGCATTTTCTTTTTCATGAGTTAAAATAGCAAAGTTTGAAATTAAAGAATTATGATCCAATTTTAATTTATCATTATTTTCTTTGAGGATCACATTCTCATTTGAAATAGTATCAAACTTAGAAGCTAACAACTCATGATCAGATTTTAATCCTACATGCTTATTTTTAAGATTAATAAAATTATTATACAACTTAGTGTAGGCATGCATTAATCTATCATATGCACAAGCGAGTACATTAATGTATATATCACTATTGGATTCCGAATCGCTTACCACACTAGGGCTATCGCCTAGTGGTCGTGTGCATGATGATGATGCTCCAATAGAACTTAAAGAGGAAGCCGCCAAAGCTTGTCGGATCGCCTCCAAGTTCCCTTGATGTGCTTCTATGAATTTTCATAATTTGTAAGCACTATCAAATAAATCAAGCTTGTTAGAAAAAGATGAATCAAAAGCATTGTACAAGAATTCTAACAAAAGCTTATTCATTATAAATTTTCTTTTATCTTTATCACTCCACTTGGATTTCTCCAAAGTGGGCATAATATAAGCACAATCTATAATTTCCCAAAAAATTGAAATATCTAGATCTAACAAATATATTAAATCTAGAACACCATTAGTCATAGGGGGAATTATCTATTTTAAGAGCAATATTAAGATCATAGCCTAAACAAGGTGCACAATGCATGTCCATAATATCTATATGTATGCAAGCAAGGTAACAATAAATCTTAAAATTAGATTAGCACAAAGAGATAACTTGGATCTTTAACTCAAGGTGATTAAACCTTAAATCAAAGAGCACCAAGCTCTGATACCAATTGAAAGTACCCTAATGCCACTAGGAAGAAACCCTAAGGGGGGGGGGGTGAATAGGGTTTATGCTAATCTAATCTGATTTAATACCAATTTAAAACTTATTAACACATATATCCTAGCAAATGAGATATGAACAATATATGTGAAAGGATATACAAACTAAGGGCGATATAAATATGCAACAATGGCGATATAACAATATGCAAGAATAAATACACCAAAGCTAAACTCAAACACAAGGAAATGATCATGTAGTTCGGACCTTCTATCCTACGTCTCCGCTCCCCACTTCCGGGGAGAAATCCACTATCACACCGGGTTTTCAACGATCACCCGAAAACGTTTACACCATACAGTATTGGTCTTCAATGCTCACCGATCAACGTTCACAATCTCACAATATAACTATACTAACTACCACCTCAAGTGTTAGAAATTACAACCTCTCTCTAGGTATTACCACCCACCCCACTCCTTTTGGGACGACCCCGTCTCTCACCACACACTCCTCTTGGTGTACTAGTGTATTACAAAGTGAATCCTCATAATTATAGCTCACTCAACAAACGATTGTTCTCTAAATAATGGGAGAACTCAATTAAGCACAACTCAAAGTTACAATCTCTCACAACCCCAATTATACTATGTATAAAAATACTAAAAGCTCAAGTGGGTGTGTGTAACAATGAGATTTGATAAAACAAAATCAAACTAAACTCAATTTAAATCTAGCTTATGAAAATGATTAACAAAACAATAAATATCTAGAAATAGAGTTTAGGAAAACTTCTCTATGATAACAAGAGAGAGGGAGAAGAGTTGAATGTTCAAACACCAATGGATGATCTCCTCTAGCTCTTGTGAAATTATCTTCACAAACCGAAACTTGAAAATAGTTAAAAGCTTCTTAAATAAACTTAAACCAAAAATTAAACCCTTGTTAAATCACTCTTAAACTTGTTTAAAAACTTTCTTAGTTACGTTCTATGTGTTAGGGATAGATGGGTATATATAGGAACTCAAGACAACACCCCAAGGCCTAAAAAACAAAGAAAAATATCCCAAAAACAAAACCAGGAAAAAACTATCCGTTAGGCTGAAAAACATGTCATCAGTCGACTGATGCTGTCATCAGTCGACTGATGAATTCGACCGTTGAACGGTTTTGATAGATTCTGGAATTTTTGCATATTTAGTTTTGTAAAATCAATTAAAAATAGTAAATTAACTCTAAAAATCATGAAATTTTGAGAGAAGATTATTGACATGTATATGAATATGTTAGAGAAAGAATTTATGAAATATCTATTCCTATTTGTGAGAAATAAATATTTAAAAATAAATATTCTAGATTCTAAAAACTGCTGAAACACTTAATTTTGTAAAATCAATTCAGTATAGTAAATCAACTCCAAAAATAATAAACTTTTGGGAAATGGTTATAAACATGTAATAGAACATGTTGAAAAAAGAATTTTTTAAATTACATTTTTCATTTGTGAAAACTCATCTGTTTTACAAAAACATGCCCGAACACATGCACGAACATGAACTTAACTTGATTTTATAAATTCAATTAAACATAACAAATTAACTCCAAAATTAATAAAAATTTGGAAAACATTTATAAACATGAAAGAAAACATGTTAAAGAAGAAAATTTTGAAATATCAATTCGTATTTGCAAAAACTTACTATTTTGCAAAACTTGTAAATACATGTGTACATAAACTTCTTGATTTTTGACTATTGAGTTAAACAATATTTTGAAACCTTATAAAGTGATTTTATAGACTTAATAAAATATATATAAACTGATATTAAAGTCTATAAAGTAATAAAATAATATTTTTACAAAAATACCTATATTTTGATAAAATAAACAAATATGTGTGTGTGATTGATATGAGCTTGAAGTATTAACACAAAGTATAAACCTATATAACAAACACTATAAACTATATACCAAAACTTGAAGGTTTTAAATATAGCTCTCTTTGGTAAACTTGTGGATGAAGCTTGAACTTGGATCTTCAACTTGAATTGCATTGCTTCACTCTACTATTCCGCCAACCTCCATTGGATTTGATCATGAATGCTTGATTGCATTCATCCTTCAACATATTGTTTGCCTAGAATAGATACAAAACACAAACACTAGACAAACAACATTAGATGTAAATTTTTTGTAAATCATCATCAAAACAAAAGGAACCAACAACCAATCCCCACCATGTGAATAAAGTAGGAGAGAGAATATCACATGGTAGGGATTGTGCCACATCATTTTCAAGGAAGAAATCCCCTCCTATGACAAGGATACCCATTATTCTCTCTCTCTCTCTCTAATATATATATATATAAATTGAAAATAAATACACATCAGATGACAAAATACCAGTAAAAGGGGTAATTTAGGAAAGAGTCATTAATGAAACACGCTGTAATTAATTACCAAAAGCTGTCAAAGACCGTCTTTCACAAAAAAGACAGTTTAGTTTCACTGTATCGTGAACCTAGTTTCATCTTTTCTACCCGAACAACTAAACTCTTCACATTCCGACGATTTCTCAACACTTAGGGTTTCTTTCAACAGCACATTACAACTCGAACGAAGACGAACAACAAGACTTCGACGATCGAGATGAAGAAAAACAAGTCAGAGACTCCAAAACCCTCGTCTTCAAGAAGGGGTAAA